TTACACCTTTCCAAGTAGCATCAGCAGTGCTGAGCAAGCTCCAAGGGTCAGTTTCCCACCCCAGGCCCATAGGAGACCACACTCCAATCGAACCTTTTGGAAGAATGAACGTTGGAAGTGACTAGAAGTTCCCTTCTTCTTTGGCAAAAATTGTTTTGAAAGCATTTAAACGGTGTGGTTGAGGTGCACGTTGCTTAAAGTGTGATTTAGCAATCTAGTTCTCCCCTCAATCCACCCCAGTCATTTTAATGGGGTAGAGCAAGAGGAGTCTGCGTGCTGCGAATGCATCAGAAGGCTCAGTGAATGAATCGTGGCCTCTTGATTCTCACGCCTGAGCTTTTAAGAGGAACCCCGGTTCTAGTTTTTGCGGCTTGTTAAGCAAGATGTGAGGTTACTTCCAGAGAAAGATCTTCTCACATCAACAATTATATCACCACTGTTACACCACCATTCAATCTTTTTCTTCTTTTAGTTTTTGTGGTAGAAGAAGCAACATTTGGTAGCAGAAGCAGTGGGAAAACAAGATTGGGTTTTGAATGGAAGAGGTCTTCTCCTGGGCCCTCCATAAAATTCAGGGATGAGGGAGGGCAGTTGTGCGATAAAAGTGGCATCTGGAGTCACCCACACCCAAACCCATCTGGTTTAGCCCACACCCTTGAAATTAATGGCACAACTGCTGTTTAAAGTGGTTTGTATCAAATTTATTTGGGATAGCGAAATCAATTGTTTATTTCAACTCTCATACCATATGATGCTGAGACTGTGAAAACATGATAGCAGAAGGAGCAGGGGTAGATGCTGCCCTCTAAGTGTGTTCACAGTGTCGGCATGTATAACATCTGATTAATGCTACAGTTCTTCTTTTGTGGGTAGAAGTTTACTGTTTATAAATTTAGAGCTGTAATGTAACTCTGTTCTCAGATAGCTGTTCTAATATACATTCTCTCATTAGGTAGGTCGGTACTTTACATAGCAAAGGGCAGCCATTCACATTTGTTGAAAAAGAGCTCTGATAATTGCTTTGTCTTTGGGTGAGAAGTGACAAAAAAAGGAGTCAGCTTAGATTTTCCATTACGTAGTGTCACTTTGTGAATGGCAGTGAGTGCAAGATGATGTCCTGTAGATCATCTTGACTGCTGCCATTGGTGTAGTCAACATTCAGGCTGTCCTTTGCTATGTAAAGATTGACATCTCTTTTTTTTTCCTAGTGGCAAGACAGCAAACTAATATCCAGCAACATTGGCGCATTTCCTGGTATTTTGAATTGTGGATACAGAAACACAACATCCCACATTATAACCAGAATTTTAAAAAAGAATTGGATATAGCATGTTCTTCACAGTAAAACCTGGAAAATCAATGCAATGTTTGCCTTTTGCTAATTTCAAGAGGAGAACTAAGTACATGTCTTACATTCCACATCTGCAACTGAAAGAGACCCTTCGCAGAAGAACTCCGTTCCCTTTGTAGCCCCTAGACACAAATGATTTGAGAATAAGTCAGTACAAGTGTGTGTGTGTGTGTGTGTGTGTGTGTGTGTGTCTGTGTCTGTGTCTGTGTCTGTGTCTGTGTCTGTGTCTGTGTCTGTGTGTCATGTTGTATGACTTAGATATGTATGGTATGTGAGCCAGAGACATAAATTGGAACTCAGGTTTTTGTGAAAAATTGAATTTCAATTGTTGTTGTGGGTTTTTCGGGCTCTTTGGCCGAAAAGAGTAGGAACTCTGTCCATGAGAATATGCCAGCCACAGAGACTGGCGAAACATCAGGAAGAACAACCTTCAGAACACAGCCAAAGAGCCCGAAAAACCCACAACAACTATTAGATCCCGGCCATGAAAGCCTTCATGAATACATTGAATTTCAATTCAATGGAAGTTGAAATGCTTAATCATTGTGCGGTGATCATATATGGTACATAATAGCTGTGCTAATAACCTTAAGTAACATCATGGTAATTTTGGGGAAACAAAACATTTCTGACCCTCACCCCCACCCCAAAGGGCCTGAGGCTCTCTTGGAATCCCTTTCATTGTTAGAATTAAAAATCCCCCCATCCCATGGCACCAAGTGATTTCCCAGCAAAAATAGGTATATCATAGGAGCTTTGGGAGCTTCAGAGGGGCAGGATATTAAATGCTTTGTTTAAGAAAAATCACCAAATAACTTATGGAAGAGGATTTCAGCCAATATTTGGGTGGGTGTGTATTTCCTGAATAGTTCTATATGCTGACATTTCCTTCCTGCTGTATTCTAAACATGGGCAATAAATCAAAGAAAGGGCTCTGAACCAAAGAACAGCATATTTTATGGCTCAACAATGTTTTCAATGCCTTTAATTTCAATGCCTTGTAAATTCAATGCCTTTAATTAACAATTTGGGGGAGCCAAATCCTGTAACACATGTCTATAAGGATGTGTAAAAATATATTGTTAATATTTCTAAATGGTTTCCAACAGACAGTTTTTCATCTCAAAGGGTGTAAAATAACATGATTGCATTTCATGTGTATCCTCATATTGTTAGAAAAGGTGATGTCCGTTTCTGAGGAAATAAGATCCTAAGTAGTTGGAAAACCATCGGTTTTGAAAACCTAAGGTCATTGTGGCCTGTTTTCTTTGTAGCTAATGAAATACATTTTTAAAATACATACTCTTGCAATAATTTAATAAACTGTGCTGTTATCTCATGAAGAATCAGGATGGTTGCCTTGGTGACAGAGATTAGCTTTGCTAGTGCTAGATTCAGTCAGTTTTCTAAATATAAATTTGTAATATTTTGGATTTATTAACAGTGTCCCTCTCTGATAAAGATAAATTGCATCCCTTCAATTGACCATGCACATGTCTGATGAAACTACAACGTCTTTCATAACATAGAAGAAGATATGATGAGTTGAAGCTTAAGCTTATTTGTTATAACAGGACAAGGCAGATGCCTAGAAAGAAATTTTAAGGGGTGTTTGGTTGGTTGGTGTTTTGTTTTGGGCTTTTTGCCTTCATCTTTTAAATTTTTTACAAGTTCTTTAATGTGTGTTCTGTCTGAGGCATAAACTTGCTTCATCATGTAGTGGCGAGACCCAAATCGAGTGGGGGCTTACACCTAGGCTTCCCCCCTGTGAATTTGGATTCTTGGAAATAGGAACAACATTTATCACATCCACAGCAACACTGCCAATTGCTGTCCTTAAACTTTGTCACACAGAACTCAAAGGGAATTGCTTTCATTCATAGTCATGGATATAAAAATCACAGAAAGATCAAACAAAGCTGCAGCCTGAAAAGGATATGGAATAAAAAGTGACTCTGTGCAAAATAAAGATCAGAATTATGTTGAAACAATTAGGGTTCTGAAGTCATCCCTAGCTGTTAATCTTGGAAGGATTTGACAAAGAGATAAAGTGCAAGGAATGGGCTATTTTCTAAGAAAGACAATCTTCTATTTAGTAATACACCTTGACTTCTGTTATATTAATATGAATAGGTTGCTTCTGTATTGAGCTGAAATTAGTGCAAATTAAAGTCAGATTCTAAAATAGACAGACTTTCCATCGATTTTTGCAGTAGTAGATAAGTTTACATTATCAAGAAGAATATAAATGGGTTTCTGACACCCTACGTTGGGAGATGTGATCAATTTATACTGATTTAGGAACTTCAATAAGTTATTATATTAATTGTTAACTTCCATCAACATTTGCAAGATATTTTTATTCCTCCATTCCTTGTTGTATCCAATGCAACATCTTGCTTTTGCTCCAGGTTTTGCTATCTGACAACTAGTTCAGCAACTGTGTGATTGCTTGTTTTTGTGAAATTATTACTGCAGGTTTGTTATCTCAGATAATGTGTTCGTAGCCTGGCTAAGCATCCTCTTCTTTCTTCTGGATGCTTTTACTTGATAAGAAAGATGGCCTGTGGTAGCTAATCATGATAATAGCTTCACACAAGAAATTAGTAAAGTCTCTTTTCTTCTCAGATAATTTAAGCCATATTACATTAACTGGTTAGCATGAATGCACTTCCAGGTCACAATTGATGCGCAGAACAAGATAATGTTCTATAGAAACAGTGATATCTGGGCTACTTGTAGGTTTCTGTCTGCCCTGTTGTATGGGAAGAGAGCCCAGTAAAGTGATTGGGTGGGGGGGGGACACTACATTACATGACACATTACTAAACTGAACTGGATTTAGATTTCTAGCTTGTCTTCTGGAACAACATGCTTGAGCTGAGTCCCACTAACAGAAACACATGTACATATATGCCCTTATGGGAAGACAATTTTGGCAATTTCTCTCTCCATCTCCATCTCTTCAGCATCACGTCCTTCAGTTCTCCAAAGCAGGTTATTGGGTACACGGGGAAGTGCTGTGGGACAGGTGGAGTCATAAGCCTTTGCTTCCTCCTGCTTGCTCCTCTCCTTTAGCCAGCAGATCAAAAAGCTCCCACCAATGGAGGACTCTGGTGACGTTTGCTAGATCTAGCCTAATTATATTAAGAGTTCTCAGTAATTAAGTTCATGTAGAATTTATAGTATACAATAATACCATGCCAGTGACATTTTTCCCTTAAGACAAATTATTTTAACATTGGGATTCCTCTCAGACCAGATCATTACAACATTGGGATTCTTCTCAGGCTGGATATCTGAGGAAATCTGAAGGAGGCCAAAGTAATATCGAAAAAAAAGGGCAGGAAAAATGCTAACAATGATTCCACAAACTGTTCCTAAATGCAAACTCTGAAGAAGAATTAGAGAATTGTCTTTAGATGAAGCATTTGAATGGCTTAAAAAAAGTGGAATGAACTTTGAATTTTGAAAACAGAGACACTGTCAAGAAGAGTACCTGTTGAAAACATCTCCTGTCAGATACAATGTCAAATACCTGATTTTCCATACACAATTTCAGATATTCCAGTCACCAACAATTGAAAACTGATAACATTTGCAAAGTACCGCTCTCCTTCTAATAACTGCTTTATTTCTTTTGCTTCAGAGATCCAGATAGATAAGCCCGAAAGAGAAGAGAAGATTGAAAAGAAGGCACTGCCGAGAGGTAATTATTTATATTAAATATATTGTGGATATGTTCTGTACATTTGAGAATATGACATTCTGAGAGAGAGAAAAAAGAAATAAATCTTGTGTAAATCTTGGGTCTGTCCTGGTTTGAATAATATTGCCCATCAGAGGGACATTAAGCATGCAGTAAGTAGGAAACACAAGAAATGGGCTCTATTACATCCTTCCAACTTAGACGCAGGGAAGTTGCACATTGTAGCTAGGATAAGGGGCAGATGAGTCTGTCAGTTTTACTGTCTGTTGCAGGTCTTTTTGCAGGCATTTCCCCCTAATATGTTCATCTTTGACATGCACATTTTCACTGATACGTATATGTATAGGTTTTATTGCAAATTATATACTGTATATTAGATTCCTTGTGTCCTTTTAGGACAAAAGAGGGGTATGAATCAATCAATCAGTCAATCAACCAACTGTGTCTTGGTTTATATACTAGTTTGGAAACTTTAAATTATGTTATTTCATATTAAAATATGTGCTAAAAAGCTCTGTAGGAGAGATCTGTCAGACACTGCTTCTATATGATAATCCATTCATTTCCATTCAAAAATGCTTCCCTGTAGCACACATTCAAAAGAGGAATGAACAATGAGTATTAGAAACAGAAGTACATTGAAGACTATGCCCTACATATGGATATTATGCTTTTCATTCATAATCTCTGATATTTTAGTAGCAAGTGAACATGGGTACTGTATGTTTGCAATGTAATTTCTTCATTACTTTTCTAAGACTTTATTTCTCTACCACTAATGAACTCCTTTGTTCACTTGCTTCTAGAAATTCAAGGAGAGAAACCTGAAAAAAAGGAGAAAGTTGAGAAGAAACTGCCTATTAGCTTCCTTGTGTCCTTTTAGGAGAAAAGAGGGGTAATCAATCAATCAACCAACTGTGTCTTGGTTTATATACTAGTTTGGAAACTTTAAATTATGTTATTTCATATTAAAATATGTGCTAAAAAGCTCTGTAGGAGAGATCTGTCAGACACTGCTTCTATATGATAATCCATTCATTTCCATTCAAAAATGCTTCCCTGTAGCACACATTCAAAAGAGGAATGAACAATGAGTATTAGAAACAGAAGTACATTGAAGACTATGCCCTACATATGGATATTATGCTTTTCATTCATAATCTCTGATATTTTAGTAGCAAGTGAACATGGGTACTGTATGTTTGCAATGTAATTTCTTCATTACTTTTCTAAGACTTTATTTCTCTACCACTAATTAACTTGCTTCTAGAAATTCAAGGAGAGAAACCTGAAAAAAAGGAGAAAGTTGAAAAGAAACTGCCTCCCAAAGGTGATTATTTCCACTTTTTAAATAAATTGTACATATGTTCTACATAAACAAATGTATGGAACAACTCAGCAACCTATGCAAAATGCACATAAGTACTTGAATGTTGATGCAGTAACCCTATTCATCGGATAGAATTATCAGTTATTGCAGAAGTAAGCAGGACCAACTAAGAAATGCATAGATCTGTTTCACCCTGGTGTAGTGGAGAAACATGGATACTGAATGGAGTTCCCCAGGCACTGTTTTTGTGCAATTTCTCGTTCTTAGTTGGGCAAGATTATACATGGAACTTGACACTATTCTCCATTAATAAACCTATTACATTTTAAAGCCAGAATCCTCTTCATCTATTCTTTAGCAGTCTGTGGCGTGAGTGGATGGACTGTTTCCAAGTTTGCCCAGGAGCTCCTTTCAGAAATGAAAGCCTCATACATTTCAGTGAGTCAGTGTCTGCCTTGTGCCATAACAAGCCAGATACTGCATGGAGTTCTACCTTGGCAAGGCATTACTCTGTCATGGCGCAGTGGTTAAAATGCTGTACTGCAGCTAAAACGGTGCTCACGACCTGGCCCTATTCATCAGATAGAATTACGTATCAGTTATTGCAGCAGTAAGCAGGACCAACTGAGTGGATGGACTGTTTCCAAGCTTGTCCAGGAGCTCCTTTCAGAAATGAAAGCCTCATACATTTCAGTGGGTCAGTGTCTGGCTTGTGCCATAACAAGCCAGATACTACATGGAGTTTTACCTTGGCAAGGCATTACTCTGTCTGGTGTTAAACTGGATTTTGATTTTTACTCAGACTGCTGGTGGTCTTAATCTTATCACATAAACTTTCTGATGACAGCATCCTCCTCTTGTCTACTCTTACCTTCCCTCACCCATGGCGTTAAAAACAGTACAATAAAGCCTGGATAGCACTCTCCCAGTCAGCAACAGTAGACTTTTTAGTCTGTTTTTCACTTAGATTGATGGAGGCTGTGCCAATGCCACCTGCTGCTGCCTGCCACTTGCACAGTTGAGTCCAAATTACCTCTTGGCACTTCTATACAGGTATTCAAGAAGCTGCAACCTTTGCAAATAAGCACAATAAAATCTAATTTAAAGTGTGTGGTATGTCCATAGCATAGTATAGCATGCAAGCAATTGCTTATGGACAGTATTTAGTCCAGTCTAGCAACAGAACAGTGGCAACCACAACAGCATCAGCACAATGTACCACTGTGTCAAGCTGCAATTATGAGTGAGGTCTTAACCACTTGACAAGCAATATGGCCTGTTGCTGGTCATTTTAAGATTAGTTTTTAAGTTTTGCACTTATTTCCTTGCTTACATGGGAGTAAGCTCCATGAGAAGTAGTAGAGCCTATTTCTGAGGAATGATGCACAGTGTTGCACTGTGTGTATTTTAGAATCTAAGTAGTTGTTATTATTTTCCTTAATTATGTGGGTTGGCTCCTTTCTCTTTTAATAAGTTTTTTTAGTATCAGTGTATATAAACATTACAATTTAAGAAGGCAGGCTGCTAAACTTATAATTAATATATAATTGCATTAAAACACTTTCCAGAAGGCAGTTCATTGCAGAAGGGTATACATGCTTGCCAAGTTTTCAAAGCTAAACATAAAGAACTTTGCCAAATGTGTCTTTGTGAAAACAATAATATTGCTCATTAACTTTATGAAAACAGTAAAATTGCTTATTAACAGTGTGGCAAACCTTCTTGCTCCCATTCCTTCACCATTGGTTGTTATTTTTCCAGACTTTGTCTAGAAGGTTAGCAGTTATTAAAAGGATTTCTATAAGCTCCCTCTTTAAAATCCAGATTAAGAAGCCAGACCCACTATCAACAATGTCCATGCATACATGACATGCATTTGGCAGCATCCTGCCCCCATTTGAGATTTTGTCAATTTCTCTGTGTGACAGCTCAGGGAAAAACTCAGAAAACCTTAGTCAAACCGTTCAGAAGCAGTTTTAGCACCATGAAGTCCTAGGTACCACCCTAGGACTTCACAAATGCAAGAGTGGATATTACCTTTTACTGGACCCCATTATAACCTTTCATGGATACAATTCCACATCTTTAATCTTAGTACACCCTCCCATGGATGGTGCAGAAAATTTGTCAACAGAACTCCAGAAATCTATGGTACGAGTACATGTCTGTGAGAGGTGATGTAAGTTCTCTTCAGGCTGCTGTCCTGAGCAGCTTTGTAATCTGGTTGGAATTGTTACACCCCTGCTCTTAAGACCAAAAGGTTGATGATTTTAGTGGTCCAATAAAAGGTATCCCCTACTCTTAAATTGTGTAATCTTGGGTACCACACGGCCTTCTCTTTTTTCTCTCAGTCTAGGATTTGTAGTTGATTTCTAATCAACTGGAACTAATAAAGAAGGATTTATAGTCAGTTCAGGAGAACTTCTGCAGAAACTCTATCCCCTCAGCTTCTGTATCTGGCTGTTACTGCACCAACAATCTCTTCCTGAAGGTATAGGTTCCCCTGCAGATTTGAAGTCAAGGACAGTGAGGAAAGAATTGGATGGGTTTGGGAGCTGTCTCCCTGTTTACCAGAACCCTTCAAGGAACCCCCCTTAGAGTAAGGTAGTTCAGAAATACCAGAGGCTTGTCTTCAACACCTCCTAATCCTGCTCATGACAGGCAGAAGTATGTTTTTTAAAAGTGGCTTATATGCTTCCCAAGGAATGTACAGCTCCTCAGTGTGAACCAATTTCAATCTCGAACCAACTGAAATAAATGAATTATGGCAAACCACATGTAGCTTTTCAAAAAAGCCCGTCAACAATCCTGTGAGGATATGGCAAATCCACTCTCTCCTTCAACTGAGTCTCATCAATTGAGGCATCAGAATCAGATTCAGTTTTTAAGTCGTTTACTGAAGAACAATGGAACTTGAGGTAACTGTTTTCTTTCAAGATCTTTGCTCTTGGTGTAGAAGGTCCATTATCAACAGTCTCTGAAGTTTCTCTCCTGAAGGTTAACATAATTTGGAAACAGCAATAAATTATCAGTCCCATAAATTGGGTTGTTTTTTTGTTTTTGTTTTTTGCTCAAAATCTACATTCAATAATGGAATACCCATCTAGCAGGTTCCCAGACTTTCTTGTCCAGGTTCTTGTGAGATTTGGAGGGGAGTTGTCTCATTCCTGGATTGGTCCCAGGAGAAGATAGGCATTTTCAGATCTCTCAGTTGTGGGCTTCTCCTTCGAAATACTCTCGTTCCTTCCTCCTCTTTTCCCTTTCTGCTGTCTCACCCCAATAGGGTGCTTCTGTACCTTTTTCTTCTACCACTCTTCCTCATCCACTTTCTTTAGGATTTACAGAGAAACCCTCTCCCCTGTCCAGGGGTCTTCTTTTATTATCTCTTCTCTGCTCTCTTCCCCTTCATCCTCTGCTTCTGCCCAGCAATCTACTGTCACTCCTCCTACAGCTCCTCCCTCTTTATATCCCTTATTTCCTGTCAAAACCACCTTCACTAACCAACCTTCTGTTCCTGGGCTTTTTTGAGACTCTACTTTTAAATTGGCTGTTCCTTTTCTTGAGCCTATTATGTCTGAGGTGGTTCCACAGTTCCCTTCAGGTTTTCAGTGTTTATCATAGCTTGGCCTTTTTGATACTAATAAATATAGGAATGTGAGGAATTTTACTCTTTAGCTGGCATCTCATTTCCAGAAAAAGAAATAACTTCTTTGCATATTCTAACATATATATAAGTGATTATAATGCAAAGCTGCATAGTGAAGTGAGGGGAAAAATCATGCTATGAAAAATAAAAATAAGAATGAAAAAATCAGGTTGGCTTAAAATCAATCATGCATCAAACCAAAGCAAAATACAGACAGGTGAAGGACTAATACAGTGATTTCAAAAGCATTCATTGCACAAAGTATACCATATAATATCATGTACAGTTACAGATTCCTTATTAAATGTGTCTGCGTGCTGAGGGGTGACAACTTGCAGCCTAAAAGACTCTTTGCCTCAATAAATCAGCAGGCGAAATAGGGAGGAATGAGGATAAGTTTAGAATGTACTTGCATGATAAACAAATATGTATTTCTACCACCAAACATACTATGAGTGAATGTGCTAAGCTAATTAGGTTGCCAACCCTGCCCTATGAGTCTCGGCATCCTAGTTCCAGCACAATATGCTAATCTCAGATTGTAAGAGAAAATGACCACCATTTTCTCATATGGACAAGAAAAAGCTCTGGCTTAAGGCTATAGGCTTATCTGGCTATGACAGGTTCTGACAAAATAGGCCAAATAAAAATGTTGACATATCTTGTTTGGTGACACTGAAAATTTACAAGTCATGTTAGCGTTTAAGTATGACTGTAAGATAAATGAAGTCATTCCTTTGTTTAACTCTGTCCTTATAGGTGTTGTTATTCTTGGTATTTGAAATTAGATTATTACATTGGATTTCATCACATTTTATAGGGTTTTCTTTTAAAATGGTGTAATCCTTTTTAGAAGCATCATCTGAAATAATAGACCATAAAATACTAGCCATTATCCTCATCCAAGCACACTATATCATATGGTGCCTTAAATGGGACGGAAAGTATAGTATCTTCCATGGCCCATGCTCATTTGGGCGGAATCACATGTGAAATGATCTCCTTATATTGAGTAACTAGGAGTAGCAGATGAACCCCAATGCTCTGCTGAAATTCACCACCCAATTTGTGGATGCCGAATTGAGAAGGCACTTAGCTGGCTACTAGCAGTGAAGGGATGAAATTATTCAAAGTATTTTGACAGTGAGGAATTCTAACACCAATGGCTTTTTAAAATATATATATATTTTTAAAAAAAGTAGCTCTCCCATCACCATTATATCTCCAGAAATAGTGACAATTGCTTTGCATTTCCCTCACTTCCCTGCCCGACTCTTCCCTTGCAATGCCCCCTCCGTCACATTCTGAAATGTGGAGATGTGAAATTCCTCTTCCTGTTAGCGCTGGTCCATTCGTTCAGGATCCCCCATCTCTTTAAAGTTTGCTCATTCATAGGGCTGCTGTAAATTAGAGGTAACGTGATGGCATGGAACAGCAAGTTCTATCCAAATTTGAAGGCATGACAATAAAATGAAAGGAACAAACTGATCTCCACTCATTTGCATTTTGGGGGGCAATAGGGGCTAATTTTGGGATGTGGTTGAGTACAAAATTTAGTGGCATCCCCACCTTTCTAATATTATTATTTAAGGTATTGTGAGGACATTAAGGTTACCATTAGTGCTAATGAGGAGCTAGAAGGAACATGGATACGTTTTATTCTCCTACTGCAGTATTCATCCTAGTAGCAACAACAATACCTAGCCAGGCACAGGCCCATTTCCCACTCCCATTTTGTTAGCGACACACAGACTCCAACTCCTCACTCTTCACACAAGCTCCAAATATATATACAGTACAGCTCCTCCCCCTGATGTCCCGCCTTCCACTCCCCATAGGATGGAACTTTCCCTCCAAACCCATGACAGACAGGTACCATCAGTGCTGTATGTGACAGTTAGCAATTCATGGAAAAGAGGAGAGGCTGAGGACACAGTGTGGTTTCCCTGTCTGTATTTGCTGTGAAGAATTAACTCATCCTCTTGGAACAATGAATATTGCTAAACTTTAAGAGGAAAAAAAAGTCTTTGCCTGTAAAGCTGCAAATCTTGGTCTTTTGGTTGCCTCTGATGATTATGAGAACATTTTCCTACATAGTTTCTCTATATCTTAAGGATCTTTAATGTAGAAATGGATAGCAGCAGTGTGTGCTAGCAGCTGTCTGTGGGTGTTATTTTCATACACAAAATCAGGCCATGAGCGAGCAATGTTTAAAAATGCAGTGTCTCTTGAATATACATGCATGCTAAAGGAACACAACATTGCTAATTCATCTTCTTGCAGATGAACTAACTTCCAAAACTGGAGAAGAAAAACCTTCAGCTGGCAGGCAATGCATTATTGCTAAGAACACACAAATTGCTCTCTTGATGGGCTAAAAGTAGTTTCCCACACTGGGTTAAGAAACCAGCTTACTTCAGGAATATGAAAAATTAGAAGATGGAAAATAGATTAGGCTTGTGTTTTGTGCATCATGTGTTTAGTAAAGACATGGAAGGAGAGGCAGGAGTGAATCCCACCACACTGTCTCTAGCTTCAAGGTTGAGATGGCATGGGGTGCTTTAAAGAAACATTTACAGTACTTGGTGCTTCATGGCATAAGGATTTATGTGCAATTGAAGCACTCCAACACCAGTCTAAGTAGTTAGTCTGATCAAGTGATTTTACACTCCATAACTGAAGCAATGGGCTTTGCGTGTAAGATGCACCAGATTCCCTCTGAAAATGCTGAAGTTCTCATAACATGCTAGCTTCAGAATCAAGGCAAGAATGCAGGACATCATTTTGCCAGCCATTCCTCCTGTAGTCTTTAATGAAAAAGAAGTTCCTTAATATTTTTTAAATGCTGCTCAGAAAGTCAGAAAATATGTTCTTCTTCAAGCCTATGTACTATATATCAGTAATTGTCATCCAAATTTGTCAAAAAATATATAAATGATATGACTTTCCCAAAAAAATTGACCAAAAGGTGTAATTGTTTTCCATTTTGGGCCATTATAGACTTGCTTTATATGGCACAACTTTTGGTGGTGCATGTTGAAATTGGTCACAGTTCTAAATTTCATCAAGTAGACTACTGGATGCCACATTTCAAGTTATTAATTCAACAGATATGACTTTAAAAAGAAAAGAAAATAGAACATCAGTGGCACAAACTTTTGTTGCAGCCTGCTTTGGGTCATCTTAATATATTTAAGTGACAGGAATATATTGCTCTTATTCTTTGTAGTAAGTCACAAAGAAAAGCCTGAAAAACCAGAGAAAGCCGAAAAACCAGAGAAAGCCGAAAAACCTAAAAAACCTGAAAAATCAGAGGAACTAGAAAAACCTGTGAAAAAAGAAGTCTATAAAGGTAAGAGAGAATGGGGTGATAAAAACCTTGATATGTGGGTGCCCAGGTGGTTGAATTTGTGTGACCACAGAATGATTTCAGCACTAGCAAAGTGCCACACACACTTTTGTACCAGAATATACCCTTCTGTCTGTATCTAAGGATATCTGCTTTGTTCGTTCGTTTAGTTGTTTAGTTGTGCCCGACTCTTCGTGACCCCATGGACCAGAGCATGCCAGGCCCTCCTGGCTTCCACTGCCTCCTGGAGTTGGGTCAGATTCATGTTGGTTGCTTCGGTGACACTGTCCAACCATCTCATCCTCTGTCGTCTCCTTCTCCTCTTGCCTTCACACTTTCCTCACATGAGGGTGTTTTCCAGGTAGTCCTCTCTTCTCATGAGATGGCCAAAGTATTAGAGCCTCAGCTTCAGGATCTGTCCTTCCAGTGAGCACTCAGGGTTGATTTCCTTTAGAATTGATAGGTTTGTTCTCCTTGCAGTCCAGGGGACTCTCAAGAGCCTCCTCCAGCACCACAGTTCAAAGGCATCAATTCTTCAGCGGTCAGCTTTCTTTTTGGTCCAGCTCTCACTTCCATACATCACTACAGGAAAAACCATAGCTTTGACTATTCAGACTTTTGTTGGCAAGGTGATATCTCTGCTTTTTAAGATGCTAGAAATTCCACTTTTTTCCCTTTCAGTTTAGATTTACTGAAGAAGGTATCAGTTCAGATTAATCCAGATTAGGACCTTGGCATGGGGGTGGGGTGAGGCAAGTAGGGGCACTGTTTTGGCCTTCTGTTGTAGAAATAATCTAATGTTAACTGCAAAATTGAGGTCTTAGGTAGAAGATAAAACACGTTTTTACAATATAATATGATGATGCTGGAGGATTCTGAGACTTTCCTAGACTTCCGGTCATTTCTAAAAATGTTTTATTGATCCTGCTTCTTATGAGTGTAGGTGATGAACTTGAGCAAGAGTTCACAAGTCCTGCCATGACCTGCGTACTGTTAAATAAAGACAGAGAGTGAACAGCACTTTCTTGCTTTTACCTTGAAAAGGGGGACAACACATCCTGTTCAGGCATGTTTTGTGTGTATTTGTCTCACTTGATGAAACAGGTTCACATAATCTTACCATTTACTGAAAAGCTATGCTTTGGAAAACCTACCTACTGATAATAGTTTACATAGAAAATAGCACAGTGTTTTTTTTTCCTCCGCCATATTGTCACCTGAAATGCACAGGATCATCTGTTAATGAAAACACATATTGACATTTTAAACTGCTTTCCTGAATCAGGCTGTGAATGAAATTGATTCAGGTCATTTGAGAATATGTTGACCACTCTTCAGTGTTTTCTTTCCACCAAACAAACAGAAGGTATTTGATTCTCTTCTAGGTTTTTAGTCTTTCTCAGTAAATGGGCAAAATAAACTTCTTATTAAGGCAAGGAAGAGGGAAGTGCAACGAGTGAGCAAGCCACAGCTCACCAAGGATGTTTTTGTAGTTCCTGAATTATTGCCCCCAAAAGTACCAGTTCTAAAAAAGCCAAAAAAGCCATTTTCTGCTCCAGAAAGTCTCTGGGGTGGCGGTGATTTTGCAGTTGGATGCAGCCACACTTCCTCAGATCTCAACGCTACTAAAATGAAATCAGAAACAGCTTTCAATTTTGAATTGTTATATGTTTTGCTCATTTCTAGGGCTGGCAAGGCAATGCATGAGTTCTGGGGGCAAAAAATTGAGCCCCTGGCCCTTCTAAAACTGCCTATTTCATTTAAAGGCAAAACACTGGAATGAAAAAGCAGTGATACAGATTTTTTTTTAATTTTTTGAACCTATATTGTCATATCTTGCAATTATTGAGTAAAATTCTTATTGAGTTATGAGCTACTGGACTGGTGAAAACAGATTTCCTGGTCTTCCATCGTGTCTCCAGCACCCACACCCCCCACAAAACTGCACAGAGGACTGCGAGACCCTGATGAACAGGAGGACAGGGTGACTTGCAGTGTGGAAGGGAGAGAAAGTACCTGGAAAAATGAGTAGAGTCAACTTCTTTGAAGTGAATCTTTCCACTTTTTGAAGACAAATTCTGGGTCCAATCCACTGACTACAATCTTGTTTGGAGTGTGATGCTTTCATCAGTGTAGCCTGATTAGAATCCACAAATGTCACAAGCCCACCCACCTACTTTCCACTTTCCTGCTCAGGCAACCGGAATTGAAAAAGGAGCCAACCCTTTTATAATTCATAGAATCTTCTCTTTCTCTCTTTAAATTAATGTCAGATGTACCATGAAACTAGGCTAAGAAATAATATATTTTTGGTAACTGATCAGGAGATATGGGACAGGTTAGCTGTTTTAGAACTGGAGCCAATAATAAAAAGGGCTGGTATTCTTGTTGCCTAGCTAAGAATAGGTGAAAGCACAACCTTAGGCAATGGAGTCAGAGCTCCAAAAGACATGCTAACACATATATGACTGCATTTATTATGACTGCTCTTATTCTTAAGACAATTGCTACAGAACTGAGCAGGCAGATAAGAGTCCATAGGAAACAAAAAGTGGACATTAACTCTTCTCCAGCACACCATAGTCCTGACAATAATCTGGGTTCAATTCAAGGTTTTGGTTATTACCTTTGAAGTCCTACATAGGTTGGGATCCAATGCTTACTGGACCCTCTGCTGGGCCAGCTAAAGTAATCTGGATCTGCTCTTCTAAAGTTACCAAAACCAAACAATCTTGCTTGAGTGTATTAAAAAAATACCTTTCTGTGGTGTTGCCCTCCATGCTCTGGAATTCTCTTCCTGAGTCCCTGACATGATATCTCTGCAAGGATTCAGGAAAGGATGTATAAGATGGAGTTTTTTTTCAGACATTAGGAACTGCATAACTGTGGCATCATGCCTGCTTTGGCCCTCAGCCAGCTTCTACTGGAACTCTAACACCCACATCTGGCAGCACGATACATTTTTTTTCACTTGCCGTGGTTATAATTTTTAAATTAGAACTGCCATCAGCAGCTGTTTCTGTCAGTAAAACGGTTATTACAAGTCACTGTGCATCAAAACAGTTTGTGCAAAATTACAAAGATAATTAGATTTTACTTTATTCAAATGTTTTTTTAAAGGAGAGACAGAAACAATGGGTCAACCACAAAAGGTGTAGGAGATATGGAAAAAAATTCTAAAAAGGTCCATTTGCCATCTGTTCTGTCCATTTTAATGGGACTTGCACAGTAATCCTGCACATCCCATTAAAATCAAGTAACCCTTTGTCTTGCCTTCATCTTGACTTCCAGTAAGGTGACTTTCAATAGTGCGTAAAAGAAAGAGTAGAGAACAATGTCCATAGCAGGAATAAAAACTCCATTGTTTCTCAGTACCAGAGACTAAGTAGGGGTATAAATCTTTGCTTATTTTGCTTTTGCAGGTCAGAAGAATTGTGCCTGTGCCCAGGAGTGGTGCTAACCTGAGACGGTAGATTCTGTTGGGTCCAATGGAAGCTGTTCTCCTATCTTCTTTGCCGCTTCAATATGCTCTTGGGTGATAGGATTCAATATGTGTATTCTTTCACCCAAGAGCATAACTGTGGCATCATGCCTGCTTTGGCCTTCAGCCAGCTTCTACTGGAACTCTAACACCCACATCTGGCAGCACGATACATTTTTTTTCACTTGCCGTGGTTATAATTTTTAAATTAGAACTGCCATCAGCAGCTGTTTCTGTCAGTAAAACGGTTATTACAAGTCACTGTGCATCAAAACAGTTTGTGCAAAATTACAAAGATAATTAGATTTTACTTTATTCAAATGTTTTTTTAAAGGAGAGACAGAAACAATGGGTCAACCACAAAAGGTGTAGGAGATATGGAAAAAAATTCTAAAAAGGTCCATTTGCCATCTGTTCTGTCCATTTTAATGGGACTTGCACAGTAATCCTGCACATCCCATTAAAATCAAGTAACCTTTTGTCTTGCCTTCATCTTGACTTCCAGTAAGGTGACTTTCAATAGTGCGTAAAAGAAAGAGTAGAGAACAATGTCCATAGCAGGAATAAAAACTCCATTGTTTCTCAGTACCAGAGACTAAGTAGGGGTATAAATCTTTGCTTATTTTGCTTTTGCAGGTCAGAAGAATTGTTTTAAAAATGTTTCTCCCTACTGGGAGAAATTACATAGCTTTTTTTTCAGGGCTTCATTTGCTAAACATTCATGGAAGTTTTTTTTTGGGGGGGGGAGAAAAACCTTGGCCTTTTGTGCAAAATGTTAAAGGTTTTTTTTAATCCACATTTTTCTACTAATGAGGACCCAAAAAGAGAGAGTGAAATTTTTTCAGTTGATGACAGTGTGTTCAACAAGGTATCCTGATGTGTCAGGCTTGAAATACTCTGTTTCATTAATTAGAATGTTCTACATGTTAAACTTATATTTCATTCAACATTTTCATTCTGATGAAGTCGAGATGTCCATGAAAGCTTACATTAAAATATAATAGTTAGTCTTTAAGATGCCACATGTGTTTGTTTTGTTTTGTTTCTTTGGATTTTGCCTGATCTGTTTTATTAACAACAAGAATATTAGGAGTATTCCTTACAGCCTCAGTGTTAGGATGCCATTTTAAATTCTGTGCTAAAATTTGTCTGTTTCTTTTTATGGTAGTACACAAAGAAAAGCCTGAAAGACATGAAAAACCTGAAAAGAGAGAAAAGCCAGAGAAGAAAAGAAAAGCAGAACAAACTGAAAAACCAGAAAAGAAAGAAAAAGGTAACTTTTCCCACCTTTGGTGAATTCTATGCAGATCGATTCAAAGTTCTGACTAGTCTAATAATGGCCATGGATATGGAGAAACTATTTCCACTCACTCCACTTGTTTGTTTGTTTGCTTCTTTGTTTGTTTGTTCGTAGAATGGAAATGTGCTACTTAACATAGACCCACATGCAATTTATAATTCCCTATATTATAAAGAATCAGCAGAGCTTTCCTGTTTCTGTCATGAGATGATAAATGGACCT